TATGTCGCATCGTCAACTGCAAAAAAATTTAAATTAATGTCTCATGAATGAGCGCAATAACATGATTATTTATATAGTTCGTTAAACAATAAGGACATTACGCGAATATTATATTTGTGCGTAATTAAATTTAATAACTAGATACAATTTTTTTCTATCACAGCATATGACGCTTGTTACGAAGTGAAATTAAACCCACGTCGTGGCAGCCCAACGAGCTCTAATTTTCATTGTTTTCTGCGAATGCAGATTTTTAACGACTGTCTGTGTGTCTGACAAATTTTTACGGCTTGTGAATTTTAAAAGAGCTGGCAAATTGCGTATGTTACGTGCACTCTGTTTTCAAATTCTTTGCTCGGAGAGTGGATTTTGCACGAACGCAAACAACGCTTGTTGTATGCACTAAACTTCATATGATGATGTCCTGGCTACGGATAAACACAATTTTACTGGTTCAAGAATCTAGTCACGTACTGTTTGCCTGATGTCACAAGTCACGACTGTCGACTGTTATCCATTTGGTACCGATCCAAAACCACTACGACGCGAACCGCCAGCCGTCGGCTGACTATACTCGGGGATTTCTACTGGCGAGTATCAAAACACGTTAATTCTATCGCCAGATTAGAATTAACGTGTTTTGATAATTATGCTTGGCAGAGCACACAAAAATCGAGATAATTAAGTTAAGCTATTTGCATATAGATTTTATTTATACCATTTACAATCTTATGTTTACTTTTTAAATAAATTTTTAAGTAAGTTTCATTGCTATTTAAAAAATTATATTACTAACGCTCTCTTTCTTGTCAATCTTTGGAATTCATTGATCTTTTCGTCTGCAATTAATTTATTATTTTAAGTTATTTTAATTTTTTATCGATAATATGAAATTTTCACCCTTTGTCTCTGGATCTTTGAATTTTAGTGCAAATTTTTATATTGTTTTAGGTGTACAAAAATCTGTCAAATTTTTATATAATAAAAAATTTTAACAATAAATTTTTATTATAAAAATTGAATTGTATTTCACTTATTTTTTTATAGATTTAAATCTATCAGAATTTATAATTAAAAAATCGGCTATGTCTTTAAAGTCTAATATTATCGATGAAGAATTAATTGATAAGAATTAAAGTATCTTTGTACCATTTTCTCTCTTCTTTTCGCATAATTATTTTTATAATTATTCTACCAGTTTCTCTTTAAAATGATACAATATCGACTCCCGTAAAATCATCTTTAAGCTCGTCACCAGCAGACAAGGGGAAAGATATGATCAGATATCAAAGGACTAACCAATAACTACCTATGTAATGTCGTTATCCGCTAGACTTGAGGATCTTAACAATTTCCGATTTTGTTACTTCAAAGAGTTGACATTTCATTGTGATATGCGCACCCTTGATTCTTGAAGAATAGAAACTTTGTTCATGTTACTTTGTTAATAAAATATAATACTATTGCCATAATGCAAATCGGACTAAATTATTACTTAGTTACAAATTTTTATTAGAAAAATATTTATTTTTATAATATTAGTATTAAATATTTTGTGAACGATTCTATCAAAAATATAAGCAACTCACTATTAGCAACATTAACAACTTGAATTTTTCTGGTATTATTCAATAAAAAATGAAAGTCCCAGAGTGAGTATTTCGTAAATAATAAATGTACTCAGTCAGTAGCGTAGACCGAGGTATCGGTGATCCTTGGACAAATTGTACAAGTATCATTCGAATCGTACGATGGAAACGTCTGACATGTGCCTATCGTACTTCATATTTCATGAGGATCGTGGACGTATCAACTATTCCGAGCAGGTTCGAAGTGTTTGCCATCGCGTCGATGAGGGCCCGTCGACGAAGGGATAGAAGAGCTCAAGGGCGTGTAACTGCAACATCTGTTGGCGAAGAGATCTCCAAGGCCTATCCAGAGCAACGACGTCTCGCATCTGTTGTTCGGCGCTATTGCGAAATATCTTCGAGGGAGAGTAGAGCTTTGTAACGATGCAATTCCAGCTAAAGACGCATTCGTGGCGAACCGTCGAGATTGCAAGCTCATCGTGACTGGCAGCTTTCGAGATCTTCTCCTCCATTTACAGTTATTTTATGCGCGAGAATTTTTAAAACCAAAGTTTCAACGCGACTATTTTTACATTTACCGAATGAAACGACGGTAGATCATAATGCAAATGTGATTGATTCAATAATTCCGTTGGATATTCATTGAAGCATTTAGCTCCAAGCGATTTTGTTCGGCGCGTTTACAATTCAAAGTTTTACTCGTAAAATGACAAACTTTCTATCTACGTGCGTAGGGTGACTGTGCCGTCATAAGGTGTCATCTCTTTTTTAATAGCGCCTTGCCACTCAATGGAATCGCCATTGACTCCTTTCTCGAGCGCGTTTGACGTGTCGGCTTCCCAAGGCAGTAAATTCGCCAGCGTCGTAAATCTCTGCAGCGGGTTCCACCCTCGATCTTCTTCGCTCGGCAATAAATACAGATCGCTGGCGCGAGGGTGCTCTGCTTCTCTGCTGGCGTTATTTCGATGAGCCTCAGTCTCTGACGATACGCAATACGTCCTGATTTTCGCGGGGAATTAAAATTTCCGTTCGCTGTCCGTGATACGGCGTGTAGTTTCCTGACGGCAAACGCCTGCGAGATTTCCTGTGTACACCCCCCGTCTCCGAGTTTCATTCGTGACCAGGAATTTCCCTGGAGACGTCTGCGGCGACGTGTCTCGCGTGTCTCCCGTCGAACGAATATTTTCCGCCCTTCCTAGCTATTCCTCTTCTCTGACTTTCTAACGCCGCGCCGCGCGCAATCACCGTTCCCTTTTTCCCTTACGACGTCGCAAAACATCACTCGACGAAACTTCGGGTGATCTTAAAGCAAGCAAGCACGCTACGAACGCTCGTATGATGATCACCGACGGAGTTTACTCGTGTCCTTGACGTTCCTGTGTACGATCCGGTACCGAACATCTCGACGGCTTCTCCCCATTTCCCGTGGGAGCGTGCGGTCGGAAAGCCCGCGAAGAAATTGATTGAGACGTATCTCCGTCAGAGACGGATATTAAAACAGTCTGAAGCAGAGAAGAAGGAGGGAGCAGGGAATAAGGATACGAGTGTCAAGACAAGATATTACTCATAGGGTGGATGGCGTGGATGTACAAAAGACAAGTTTGGTCTTGGGAGAAAAATTCCAACAAAGACAGAGACGAGAAAAACCGTTTATACCGTCGCTGAGGAAGAGGAAGAGGAAAATCAAGCAGATAAATCTGCTGGGCCGATCGCCAGATTGAATTTAATAATACAGACGCACGCAATCTCGTCGAGTAGCGTTAGCCGTGCGGCGCGGTTAATGTTTAACCATTCCCGAAACGTGTATTTCGCAAAGAGGAATTGAATAGAAATGGCGCGTGAGAGATATATTCGCATCGTCTTTCGGTTTTTCTTTTACCGTAATTTGATGTGCGTGTAGAGGATGTTTTAGAACTGATTGTCATTTTCATCACAAATTATATGACAAATTTCAAACCGACTTCTTTCCAACGAAAGTTTGCCAAATATAATGATTTGTTGTACATTAAGAAAAAACTTTATTATAGATGTTATTGCATTAAGATTAAAATTATATTCTTAAAATAAAATAATTGTAATAAATTGTAATAGATAAAGTAATTATTAGATATATTATTATATTAAAATTTTAATTAAATTTTTACAAAAATAAAAATCTTGCACTTTAATCCTTCGGTGCTACGTTATATGTTTTGTCAATTTTCATTACAACACATTAAGTATTGTGTAAAATTACACAACACATGAATATTATATATAATTTTTTTTTCATCTAAACGATGACAAACAAATATATATATATCTTTATTAATAAAAAATTATAACATGAAAAAGTTGGGAAAGCAAGAAAAGAAAATACTATGGTAAAAGAAACAGTTGGGGGATATGCCATATCACAATGGTATTAAAGGATTAAAATTAAATATTTTATTTTCTCAATTTATTAAAATTTTTTATGTCTGTGATAAAATTCCGTAACTGCAGATACTTTGCTAATCTATCTGTTTCTTTTCCCGAGATGTCGTAAATATCTGCAAATGTATGCGTACCCAGACGAAAGCACTTTGATATGCTCTTCGGACACATTAAGCCGCAAAAGAGGCTAACTCGACGTTACACCTGTCAGAGCAATTTTGTTTTACCTGCGTCATGTACCACGTCCGAGAAGTCAACCGCTAAGAGATTGCGCCAACAAATGAAATTAGCGTCCTACTATATTCAGGGGCGTTTCTTTGATACAGAGTGTCCTTCGTCGATCATTATCGTTCGCGAGGAAACCTCGACCCTGATACTGACGAGGCAAAAAGTCACGTAATCATAAAAAATTAGGTATGAACAAACTGTTCTCGATAGAGTGGTCTGTCACCTTTGAAAAAAAAGATTTTTTTTAGAAAGCAGTCTTATGTCTTTTAGTCGAATTTACAAGTCATATTATTGTTTCGTTTTTAATATAATTTACAATATATTTAATTTTATATTAATATTATTATTTAATAATGATTTGTCACAGTATTATTTTAATAATACCAAACATTTTATAATACCAGTAATATTTTAATAATACCAAAAGCATTTTTTTATTTATCATTATTTATGATATAATTATTTAATATTCAATCAACGTTCTTATCTGTTTCAATTATCTCTTAAGCGAAAAATCATTTACAAAAAATTAAGAATAGACATGACAAAATAATATTGATAATTCCGTAACAACTTTTTGTGGATGCAACTTAATCGATTCGTTGCTTGAATAAATTCCGACGTATCCAAGTTGTGATTTATGGCAATTATTAAGGAATCGTAAAGAGCTTACGATAGATCGCCTACAATTCCGTACGGTCGGTATATCATTGATGTTTACTGGCGGGAGCTCCACGATGCGTCTAACTGTCGGGTGACTCATTTCAGGCGGCGGTCTGGCGCGTCCGAAAATGACTCTAAATCTGGATGCCAGTAGTATTGCAGTGGGAACGAGTGGGAATTCGGGCGGTCAATTGGTGCCGAAAAAACCTGGTGGCCTAAGCCTCGGTTTACCGCTGGAAATCAGCACCGCTCGAATATCAGCTGATCTGGTTGACGTGGAGCTTCCATTGGAGAGACAAGGGTGAGTGTTTTGCCGGTTTTTATTGCTATTTTGAAATACTTTATTTTTACATGAGTTTTAGCGAACATGTATTACTATTAATACGGACGATGTTTTGACAACTTGAACACCGCTAATGAGTTTGTTAACATTTTCAAAGTTACTTTCATTTGTGCGCTTGCACTTTTTTATCTTTCAATTTTGCATAAGTACTTTTCGCAATGTTTTCCGCACATAGAAAAAACGATTTTGCTGAAGTATTAAAAATTTTTATTAGATGCAGATCTGAAAATAATTTTGTTAATTCATCAAAATAATTATACAGAAATCTCAAACATGATATGAGCAATACTGTAAAAAAATTTGAAAAGCTTTGACAGTCTAGCAACCAATGTGACTCTTTTATAATTATTTTTATGATCGAAAAAACTATTTTCACAGAAATCTGTGAATTTAGATATCTAAATATCTAAATTCTTTATATTTTAACCGTTGTTTTCATGCAGTACTAAAACTTCGCGGAACGTTATTTAAAGAGAGACCTTTTATTTAGATGGTATCACGGCTCTATCACACGCATCGAGGCAGAGGGTCTTCTGCGAGTTCATCAAGAAGGAAGCTACCTAGTGAGGAACAGCGAGTCGACCAAACAAGACTATTCTCTATCCCTGAAGTAAGTAATACTTAAATAAATATTTGTTCGCTTATTCCATAATTTGAACAAATATTTATTGAACATTACGGATTCTTCCGTAAGTGTTATAACTCACGTAATTACGCCGTTATAATTGTTTTAGGAGCGCCCGCGGTTTCATGCACATGCGCATCCAGAAGAACGAAGAGCTGAACGCATACATTCTGGGGCAGTTTAGCAAACCGTTCGAAAACATACCGGAAATGGTCCGTCATTTCAGCGTGAATCGTCTTCCGATACGCGGTGCCGAGCACATGTGTCTCTTGCATCCGGTTATAGTTCAGCTTTTGTAGCGCATCTATCGTAGCGCCATTTAAGGCGCTGGGATTTTGATAATCTGTTTTCTTTTTTTTCCCGACGAGTGCCGAAGCGCGCGATTGCGAATGAACGGTAAGCTTGATATAGCGAACGAGATGTAGGAAATATTATTCTCAAACAAGGGAGTCTTCCGAGAGTCCGTGAGACGTGGTTGACCCATGAGATCCTCCGTATCAATTCGCATTCTGATTGAATGAACCGTTCAGCACGAAAAGCGTCAGAGATAATGGACAATAATAGCATTGACGGGGAATATCGCTTCGTCGCGAAATGTTAGGGGAAGTACAGTACAAAAGTATAAACGATGACACTGAGCGAAGCTGCTCAACAAATACACAGTGCGATCGATCGTCCAGAACGAGGACGTCCAGGTCCGTGCAATTTGTTGCGAGAGGCCGGTGTTAAATTATGTATGAGGAATCTCAGGTCGCTCCAAGTGAGGATACTTGCTCACAAACGTCATCTTTTTGACAACACTTTACTTTCGCATGTCTAGTTCAAGTTTATAGTCCAAGTTTTTATTGCACAATAAAATTAGAGTCAGTAGGAGCAGTGAATGCTTTCCTCCTCTGCCTCTCGGACTCGAAAGCGTAAAGATCGGTGTCCTACATGCTTCGTCTTCCTCAAAAACATCGCGCAAACCTACCTCATAGGCAAACGCATGCATCGCGGCACGATGGAGAAACGTATCAAAAATTGCGATATTAGAAATTGTAAGAGTCTGGAGAACGAAATTACTTGAAACAGATACGAATTATCGATGCAGTGGCGACCGTTGATAACTCTCATGAAGGCTATAATGAATTCGGGATCGACGATTCTAGCAGAAGCATATTCGAGAACATTCTTGAAGACGTTTTTCCCGACGATTGTTCCTCGAATTCGCGACTATGCGGATTCTATGAAAGAAACCTTTCAAATGGGATCAGAAATGCTGCTTTACGAAAATGATATAATTTAAGTAAGAAGGAAAAGTGCGATGCGCGTATTTAGATTCATATAACGTGCTGCATAGAAGTAGCCCGACGTTGAAGCCAAAGTAAAACTAATCCTAATATCCAGTCGAGGAACGTAGCGCAGAGGCTGTAGGCTGGATACGCGCAGCAAGCGCGAATAAAATGCCAAACTTTACTTCTAATCGTAATCATTTAGTCAGGGTTTAGTTGTCCGTCTCATCGTTGATAAGTGATTAAGTAGGCTTAGAACTAAGCAAGCGTATGACAGTTAGTTGGCTCGGTTATGAATCTTAGGTGAGGCGAAGAAATTGCGAGTCGAAAAAAATAATGAGTGTTTTTTTGAGTGTCGCAAAACGACACGAGCGACGGTATTGTGATCGGAAACGTGAGGAAAGTAGAAAAAGATGATAATAATCAGACAGTCTGAATCATCGATGGCTCGTCATATGAGTCATCCGTCCGAGAGTCCACGAGGACACTCGCGAAAGATTTTTGCGATAGGATGCAACCGATACATATTTTTTCATGTGATATTAATTTGTTACAGAGATAGCCTAGTTTCACCTGTGATCTGTTACTTAATTCCCCTTATTCGCGCGCGTGCGCGCGCACGATAACGATAATAAAATAATTAAACTTGCTATTATTATTACGTAGAATCAGCAACGACGCGTCACTCAGACGCGATGATGAGACGTCCGTGGTATCACAATAATTTTTCAAATTAGAAATTCGATTCGCAGAGGTTGTGAGCGAATTTTCGTTGGCCGCGTAAGCAAGAAAAGTTTTGCTTAATATTAAGTAGAGACGTAGGGAACCTACGGTGAGAAGTAGCGAGTGCCAGTTGCATCGTGTTGTAAAAATTAACCGATGGTCTCGTTTGATTTAAATGTTTAATCCGTGTATACGAAACAAAGCATTAATTCCCTTATTAAAACTGATGTTTAAATTCGCGATCACTGAAATACTTGAATTGTAAGTGAGGCACTCTCTACTTTCGCATCTAATTAGGTTGAGTGTAATTTATACATCGTATTTTAAGCTGCCAGTATTATTAACTGTAATCGATAATGCATATCCATATATGTTAATGTTTAAGACATTATATTATCTCTATAGTCCGATCATCGACACTATAATCTATACATATTTATTTCTTCTATTATATTTATTACATTGAATATGGTAATGAAATTTCCGTGCGTCGTTAATTTAATCGCGAATTCATAGAGCTGTAACCTTTAGTGATTTCTGTATTCTGTACACGTAGAGTAATACTATTTGTCGAAAGGCAGTACGTAAATTGTATGGTAGACACTAACTTGTAGATACTTCCTGTACCTTGAAATTTGTATGAAGTAGCATTTAGATTACGTAATATATAAATATATATTATTATAAATGATTATACTAGCGCGCATAGCTCTCGTTTGTAGGATACATAAAATAAGATCGAGCAAAAGCGGAATAAGTCCAATAAAATATCTTGAGCGCTGTGCACGCCCTTTACGTAAAAAGGGATCTTAGATGACGATGTGCAATATTCTGACACGGTCTCGTACGGGCGTAAACGTGAAGTGCGATCCAATATTTTTGTTTTAGCAAGCAGACCATCAATGTTCCAAATCGACTTCACTAGGTAGTCTTGTGTACTCTGGAAATTTCTCTTAATAATAAAACAATTAATAACTCCAGTTTGATTATGATTTCAGTCGGAGTTTCGTCATCTTTTCATTTAAATAATCCAAGAAAATCATCTTACAGAAAAAAATTTTATACGAAAGATTTTCAACAAAGTTGTATAAGAAGATACAAAACATATATCGAAGAAATATTAATATTAAAAAATATTAATATTAATTATATTATATAAATTTTCTTTGTACTATTTTATTTTATTTATTCTATTTCTTTATCTTCTTAGTTTCGTATATGATAGTCTCATCTTCAGATTCAGTTGGAATAAGTGGCGGTCATTTTCCTGTGAAGATGTCACTTGGTCCGCTTCTGTCTATGTGTCAAATCAAACATGTAATATATTTAAATATATTGCAACATATATATATATATATATATATACACATTGAAAATTGCATGAAGAGCTTAAATTCTTAATTTTTTAAACGTTCAATAACAAAGTGCATATAATATACTGATTTTTCTTTCGATTTTGATATTATCGATTCTTTTCCTTAAATTTCGCTTTCCTGTAATTCGCGGCAAAAGAAAAATGTACAGATCACATAATAACAACAATAATTGTAATAATTACATAATGTACTTAAGGATATTTAATTTTAATGTATTTAAACATATTTAATTTTTAATGTCTGTAGCATATTTAATTCTACGTTTTTAATATATTTAACAAATATATTGAATTCAATTTAATTATACAATAACCTTTATTAAATACCTCTGTAAACTCTCTAAACGTGATGTGTATTATTTACACACGATTTCCAGCGCTATTTTGTCGGGATAGTACAGGTTTACGGGACGTCGAACATTCCTGAGAGAATTGTGAGAGTGAATAATATACTTTGCTAGTGAAATGAGTATGTGAATTATTATGATGATTAGTTCATGTTGACATTCACCGAATGTTCAGTTTCCTCGATAAATTGACCTTCCCAACAACTTGGACCGCAAATTTCCAATTTACTCGGTAAGAGTCGACCGCGATATATTTGACCGTCTTTTCCTTTTATCAAACCATCCGTCAATTGTATCGTCTCGGGTCCCCATTGAGTAAGAAAATGACCCGTCCGCATGACTCTTTGCTGAGGAGTCGTGACTGTGTGGCTCCCACCGCAGTATCGATTACAGAGATGATCTCTAATACATCAGACTTATCAAACTTAAGATAATAATTTGTCATTAAGCTATTTAAAAACTCTGGAAGACGTTAAGTTTATAATGGTAATTTTGAAAAAAGATTCATGCTTCAAATGTTAATATTCATTAATATTAATCAATATCAACTTTGATAATAATATTTGTTTTTCAAAATGTAATATTTTCTCGAGATTCCGAGATGGTATAAAATATTGTAAAACCGGTTACCTGGGACTCTTCGCGAGAATCTCCTCCTTCGCTTTCATTTTCTTTGGCTCTTCTTGCATTGCTGCCTCAAATTGGATCAGATTTCTGCTGTAAGGCAATTTTTTCTGTTGTTTTCTAACTTGATCCAACTCATATGTGAGATAAGGTTTCATGCTGATAGTGCAAGGAAATGGCTCGGTTCGAAATTTACCGACCTCTTCTGTTCTCATTGCAACATCCTTGTCGCACGATATACATTGAACATCTCTGGATAAAAGAGAAAGAAGTCAACATCGCATTGAAGTTTTATTTGCAAACTTAAAATGTTTACTTAAGCAGCTTCTTCGTTCCTGCTGCCTCTATTTCTCGTCTTGCTTCAACCATAATCTTCAATTTTTCTTGAAGCAACTTTAATTTTTCATCCACAAAATCCTTCAATGGCGTTAACTCGCCTTTATCCACCTTGGTCGCGATTTCATTCTGCACTTCATCGAGCGCTTGTTGCCAAATCGATTCTTGCTTTGTCAATTTGTCGATTGCTTCCTCGAGACCACGAGCAAGACCATCGCAAGCAGCATCAAATTGATCGTGCGATACCTACAATAGATTTTCGAATATTTCAATCTGTATCAATAACAAATAGATCAGTAAACTTAACAATTCTTTATACTTTTCTGTTCACAGCTTGAGTATCCGCTTTGTCAGCCAAAGCATCTTCGAGATCCTCTTTATTTGCTTTAACGGTTTTTAGAACTTCAATTTGTTCCAGTAATGTCTGTCAACATTATTATAAATTATAATAAGTAAGACAGCTTAAATAAATGGAGAACACAAGGTAGTTGCTCTTATATAACTTAGATTTGAATATTATTTAACGCAAAAAATGAACAATGTTTTAATTAATCTTATGTCTTTATTAAAAACTCGTACTTTAATATGCGCTTCTTTGTTTTCTTTATCTTCAAGTAATTTGTTCATTGTTTCTCCGATTTTCTCCGTATCCGTTTCCATTTCTTGCACTTTCATAATAAGATTCTTAATCTGAACGCTATCTATCTTGTCAGTTTCTTGCATACTGTGTATTTTTTCTAACAAATGTCTTAATTCTGATTCCAATACAATCACGCGTTGGGCAACATCATTCAAGGCTTCGCCGTGAGTTGCTTCTACATTTTTCACAGCTTCCAAGCATTGCTCCAAGTTTGTAACACCAGTAACTTCGATTTTTTCTTTAATTTCTTCAACAATAGATTCAATTTCTTGTATCGATGGTGCCACTGGCTTTTCTTCTACTATCGGCACAGCTATAACTGTTGTTGTTTGGTATTTTAGTTCTCATATCCAAATAATATTATATAATAAAATAAAATAAATGTGAATATACAATTGTCAACATACGTGCAACTCTTTCATTAAGATCTTGCAGTTCCTGCTGTATATGAGCTACGTCCGTTTTTACCTCAGTAATATTTTGGCGTATTTCTTCTATAGCAGTGTCATCTAAATATATGTATTTCCTAATCAGTAAGTTCTAATATGTGAAAAAAATAGCGACTATATTGATTTCTAAACGACTTAAGTAACAATGCCTTTGAGATTAGATTAATTTTTATACAAAATCATTAAACTTGTTACTCATAAGTCCCATTCGAGCAGCGAGTTTTTCAGGTGTTACTCTACGGATTTTAGGTACTTCTTGCTCATTTTCTTTGTGTTCATTTGGTACAATCATGTTTTTGGGTTTTACTGGTTCTGCTATTTCTGCTTCTACTTCTTCTTCTTTTACTGCTTCTTCTTCTTTTACTGCTTCTTCTTCTTTTACTTCTTCTTCTTTTACTTCTTCTTCTTCTTTTACTTCTTCTTCTTCTTCTTCTTGTACTGCTATTATATCAGCAATTGGTGCGGCTATATCTTCGGATAACGCATCGACAACTGCTTGCAAATTGGTAAGCCATTGCTCCATCTTGAAGACCTTATCTTCGAGTTCATCCAATCTTGTATTAATCAAAGATGTGTCTGCTGTTACTACGCCAACATCACCTTTGATCACATCTTGTACCATCGCTGTAAGCTATAATAATAATTTAATAAATTAATAAAATAAAGTTTAACTGTTTTAGGATCAATTTTTATTTATTTTTATTAAATTATTAGAGATACAGAGGAACGTAAATATCATACGCGAGATGTTTACGAGATTAGCAAACAGTATACCTTATCGATACCTTGTTCATTAGCGTCCAATCTTTTATTGGTGTTAATAAATTGCCACAAATCCGCGGCAGGATCTGCAATTCGATCTTTTAAACGTTCGATTTCCGGAGAGGTAGACAAGTCCTCCAAAGCCTGATACCGATCTTGCAAGTGTTTTACCTATTTGATTAAATTATTAGTGATTAAATTATTAGTGTATTATATTACTATCGTATATAATATAAATTCTAAAAATGATTTGTTCTAACGTACAGATTGTTCGAGCTCTTCAAACTTCGATACCATTAGAGAATTATTCACGACAGATACAGCCATCTGAGGGACTTTTTCAAAATCTATTTGTGGTTTTTCATTTTCCACTCTCAAAATTGTTTCTGCAGGCACTTGAATATCTGAATCAAATCAATCTATTTTAATAATTTATAATTAATTAAATAAATACAGAAATTCAAAAGAGAAATCATGAGTATTGTACCTTCTGTAAGTATATCAGCGTCTTCACCTTCGTCTCTTCGTTGCATTACTTCTGGTTTCGATTTCATAGATGTTATCATTCTCTGCAATAACTCTCACATAAGGAAAAGAATTACCACTTTTCTTTTTTCAATTACTCGACATATTATTTTTCTTACTTTAATACGATCTGCGTTTTCACCTTCAAAGTTAACTGTGGCAGCCTGCAAATTTATTTGTTGCAACAAGATATGGAGGAAATTATGAAGAATATTAAAATTAACCGCGCCAACCTGAAATCAATAATTTTATTAATTGCTTTATCTGCAAGATAATGATGGATAATGAATAGTTTTACTATTATTTTACTTCTGGTGTTCCGAGAGCAAGATCGAGCATTTGAGGAAGAGAAATTTGCAAACTGGCATTGTTGTTAGCTGCTGTTGGCAGCTTGTTGTTAAATGCTTCTTGCATTTGGGCAGTTTTCGCAGCCATTTTAAATGTAAGTGACCGATTTTTTTCGGGAATTATATGAGAATCACATCAATTATATTTAACTTCTTGATTGTCAAGCGCGGTTATGAAAAATATTGATTGAATTGTCAATTTTGAAAATTAGTTGCTCTTGTTCCTATATTCATCTCTTATCCGATAGACTAAGGGAGATGAAGTTATGTCTGTATCTTCACAGTTGGCGCCACAAATATCATTGACAAGTAGCGTGCCCTTATGGAAAATATTTGTATTACCCATACTTCTTTTTATTCATTAAAAGTTTCAAAGAATCAACGAATCTGTTTATTATTCCTTTACGCATCTTTTATGCGTCTTTTATGCAAATAAAATAATACCTTTAATGCATAATTAAAAAGTATAACTCTCTTGTTATGCTGTTTAAGAATAATTTATTCAAACAGTGTTATTTAATACATATTATTAATTTTGATGCATTTTTAAATATTTTAAATGTGCATTTATATAATAATTTCAAATTGCGTATGCACAACATCACTATCAAACAAATAATTCTCCGAATAACACATATTTCATATATAATAAAAATATTGTAGAATAATAAATAAAATATAGTGTGCAATCTAGATATATTTTTCAATAATCTCCGTTGTTGATCAAATATCGATACGATGGGTTAATGAAACAGTAATTCACCGCGCGTCGTTTCTCCACAAACAGGCTCGGTTTATCTAACTGCACGTGGTCGATAGACCAAAACGTGAAATAGAATCAAGCTAGGCTACACTACCGCAGAGATTACATCGAATCATATATAGGTATATATTTTATCGAGTTCCCGGATATGATATTCTCGAACGTTTCCGTTAGACCGATACGATCAACGTCAGCTCGATGGTGTATTTATACGCTCGTACATCTATTCTGCGACGATGATGAATCCTCCCATATCACGGGAATAAATTAAAAATGTCGTACTTTCTAATCGATTTATACACAAACTATAATAGAGATAACGGGAATAAGTCATATTAGATTCGAAACATCCGAAAAATTCAAAAGCTAATAGAATTAAATAGCGTTGTACTTTTGATTATAAATACATATCTTTCTATCTCAAAGAGCTTTTCTGCAGTATCTATATAAAAATAATCTTGAAATAGCTAAGTTAGATTTTTTTCTGTCGTACAAGCGAGAATAAATCGAGGAAAAAATTTATTTCTAAGAAGAGATCTATTTTCTCTTCACGTTTTTTTTACCGAGATGAAATATGAAAACGATTCCATATATTTTAAGTATCGTTTCGCGAATGATTCAGCAACAGTTGTTACATATAGTTGCGTACAATGTTCTCGAATTACTTACAATAAAGCCGGCATTAGTACTGTTTGAGTTACGTTATTTGATCTCCTAGCATGTTTAATCGTGAATAATATCAGCATTCTTGATGGGTAATATCTAGCCGGACATCTCGGTATTCAATAACACAACGGTAATGTCATCCATGATTTGCTCATCTGTCAGGTGAGTGACAGTTCCTTTCTGTCTTCTTCCACGATTTCTCCGACCATCTCGTCAGTGCGAAGACGATCGCAGCTCTGAAATGATGTATACGTCCAAGGAAAGATACGCTGTGATGGTGAGTGTGAACGATCCAATTTTAAGATCGTTTTACATTTCATTATTGATCTGTTACATTCTTCTCAAATATTGACGTCTCTCTATCGTTTGCCTGTCCGCGGCAGATTTAATTTCGACTTTTATTCTCTGTGTAACTAGTGTCTATTGTCCGTTTCAACGTAGATTAACTTTACTTAATACAGTTTAACTTATTTTTTATTTTTTTTCTAGTTTTATTAAAAAAGGATAAAGAGTAAATTAAACCGAGATTAAAATTAATCTATATTGGTAGAAATGGACATAAATCAATAAATTGCAATATTCTATTTGTATATATTCGACATAAGAGAGAGACTCATTTCCAGAATTCGATTCAATTGCAATTCACGATCATTTTTATACAAAAGATATTTGAAGACATGCACGCATTTAAAATGAATTAAATAATAATTTTATAGATAATTATAAATTGAAATTAGTCTGATAAGAATAAATCAATTAATGAAAATAATCCTATTTTTGGTCAAAGCAGATCTCAGTATTTAATAATATTAAATACAAATTTTTACAAGTGTATTATTTTCGTTTTATAAACTGCGCGCTGATACGGTTTGTCGGATTTGAAATGTAATTGCAAATTGAAGCTGAAATTAATATCTCACATTAGATTAATTGTTCATTAAATAGTCAAATCTGTGACCGTAATCTCGACCGATGGCACAACTTCGTCGCTTTTCTGTTATCACAAGTCAACATTCAATTTTATTTTGATACTCGAAGTCGATAGCTACTTACTGAATTATCACAAATCCTCTCTTAACTTAAGTTGGGCGCTAGACACGAGTGAGCGTGCCACTCTTTATGACTCCTTAGACTTCGACTAATTATTCTCAATATTTCTTCATTGCTACGACAACTGACTGCTCAACCCCGCATAGACAGTAGGGGTGGGTTATTCGAAGCGGGAGTGAATCGGAAAGCGAGAGAGCAAATAAGAACTTTCTTTTAGTAAGAAAATGACAAACATATATTTAAAATATTGGTAAAGAGAATAATTACAAAAGCCTACTCAAGTACGCAATTCATCGTAGTGACAATAATTCGGCGCAAATAAACATCTTAACAACTTGTTATACAAAAAATACTACTTTAGCTATAGGGTTTAAACTTTTAAATTTGGAACTTTCGACTTTCTTGGACGGATGTCATACTTACTATGATATCATACTACTACTATGTATGAAAAATATTGAAAATATTTATCGTAATAATTAAATCTTGACTGAAGTAATATCTTTTGCAATTTTGTGTAATAAATCATTTACAGATTGTTAAAATGCTTATAGCATCATTATTTAATGGATGATCAACATAATTTGGGATATTAATTTCAGCTTCAATTTGCAATTGCGTTTCAAGTCCAACAAACTGTATAATATATTTGCAAAAGTTTGTATTTAGTATTATTAAACACTAAAATCGGCTTTGACCAAAAATAGGATTAGTTCTGTTAATTGAATAATTTCATAGCCCCGAAGGAAAATCTTATAATTTAGCTTGAACGAATATTGATGTACCTGATGCTATAAATATTCATTATTCGCCTTGCAAATATCTATGATGTCATAACTTGAATCTCCTTTCAGTTTCTTCTGTTTACTCTGGGTCACGGTATTCCATTCGGACAGCGGTACAATCCCGTAATGCCGCCACTTTCGTGGCCTCTCGTGCCACCCTGGGAATACATGCTACGCGAGATTATCCTCAAATCGGTCAGCCCGTCACCACTGGATACCAATGCACCCTACAAGCGTCCGTTGGATGCTACTTACTACGGCGGGCCGGTCGCTGCTTACTCGGACGACGACAAGAATGTCATTCTATCGCGTGGAAACGTTTATCATTTGCTGAATGGCCACTGGATACTATGTCAGGACGGATGCGTCGACTGCGAGCCATGCGCAGTTCAGAGGAATCCCATATTCACGTGGATTCTGCGGAGGATCAAGCAACCGCCAAATTCCATCCCGACGCGACATGATCTCCAGTTGACGATAATGCCGCAAACGAGCAATCACTTCCACGCTAGTAATTTCTGGGCGAATTACTACGTTTACGTGACACCACAGGAGGTACCTACGTCAATCTCGACGATTAGAACGCAGCACGACAGTGACCCGAAAAATCCCTCGCCTGGTCTTGAAAACAGTTTTCCCGAGCACCATCATCGATCGATGAATTCCTGGCGGTTAACAGAACGAGACGACTCGAGCGCCAATCGGGACAGGGTACCACAAGAGGATAACCACGCCGTTCAGGAGTCTGTGAACATTGAGAAGATCGAGAAAGAGGAATCATCCGAGCGGAAGCACGGACTCGAGAATATGAGACCTCGACATCGACCTCGGCCGAGACCCGTGGAAAAACTAGCGGAAGAAGTGAATCAATTGGCACCGAGATTGATCCTAGGAACCGATCAAAAAGGTCAAAAGCATTTGGTTCACGTGGTACCAGCGAATTATCCGACGACTACTGCGCTTTCTGCAATTTCTTTTTCTTCAGATCAACCAATATCGTCACAGTTCGTGGAGAATCAAAAGACATACTCAAATAATACGATGTCTGAGGACGAGAGTCAAACTTATCATCAAATATTTCGCAGAGTTTTTGATTCCTTAAACACGCACAGAGAATCAATCAAAAATTTTCTCGAGTCATCGACGGATAACGTAGATGGGCATCAATCATCTCCCTCGATAGATAATATGGAAGCCGCTGGATTTTCTTGGAATAATCACGATGTAAATTACAAAAATACTAATTTTGATTCTCACGACGCTTTATTGTCGCCTTTTTATGCAGGAAATGAAAATAAAACTAGGAAGTATCAGCGATATAGAAACAGATATGATAACAAACATATTAAACAAAACAATGATTATTACATGACATCTCCAGATATGAATCAAGTTAAAATATCGCGTAGCCAGTCACAAACGGGTTTTAATTTTGACATTGATAGACAACGGCGAAGAGTCCGTATCAAACCATACTTTGTTAATAGTAAAAATATTTCAAGAATAAATTCATCGGTATCGTTACAAAGTTTGAACAATTATTTGGTAAATACTACTCAGGAATCTGGTTTTAGTAATGGCTTTGCTATCGATTCCGCAAAACAAATTGATCTTAATGACACATTTGTTGAGAAAGCAAATGACAATTCTGTAGAATCGAGTTTGATAACAAAACAGGAGAACGGACAATTGTTCGGCTTAGAAAGGCCGGGAAATGGCGATGTTAATCGAGAATTCAAGGTTTCGCACGATGCTTTCAAGGTAATTACTACCAAGTCGCCGGTAATTCGAAGCGAAACTTTAAATCGCACTACAATATTATAAGTAACTACTTCAAAGACATTCATCATTAATAGTAATCAATAACTTAGAAAAGAAGACTAATAGATGGATAGAAAAATCAATACTGACAGAAATGGAATACGTACATATAATTAAGATAATTATATACATATATATATTTATGATACACACAATGATCTTTCTTTACACGATGAATCGTTTGTGTCTGAATTACTTTTCTAAAAATACAAAAATTATTAAGCGATTCTTGCATATGTACTTTAACATTTTCAGAAAGTAAGATTGTATTAAAAAAAAAGGAAAAAAATAGAGACCATTATTAGTCAGGTACTTTTAGCATTTTAAATAAAAATGCACATGACACAAATGACTCAATCGTATATATCAACAAGAGATAATTATACACATATATACTTATGGTATACGCAATGATCTTTCTTTACACGATAGATCGTTTATATCTAAGTTAATTTTCATCACTTTTCCAAAAATACAAAAATTATTAAGCGATTCTTGTATATGTACTTTAACATTTTTAGAAAATTAGGTAAGCTTGTATATTAAAAAAAAATGGAAACTATTATTAGTCAGGTGCTTTTAGCAAAGAAAAATGCACATGACACAAATGACCCAATCGTGTATATCAACAAAAATCAATTATATAATTGTAGAGGGGTTTGCACGCTTTACGTATAATATATGCAGTATTAAAATATCATTCATTTACTGTTTTTCATCAATAAAAATACATAACAATTAATAAGAATTAAAATATTTTTTTACTTCAACCTAATTTAATTTTCTCATCGAATATCAACTTATAATAGGAGCATATTTAAATATGCAGTCATATAAAAATGGAAGAAAGGCAAAATATACATTACAAAAGAATCTAATAATTAGTTTATTGTTATTAAATTTTGGAAAAATATCATTTTACATTAAAAATGGTTACATAACGTATATCAAAATTGGCAAAATATTATTATTATTTAGAGGCTCACGTATGCCGCCATCGCATAAAGACAGGTATGTTGGAATCTGCGAGAACACTACTAAAGGATGTATATGAAGAGTAGTGGGCGGACGACTCGGTTTGAGAAACAGGGATAGACCGACGCTTATATTTAATTAAAAGGGATACGGGCTCGAACGTGGGGAAGGAGATCGGATGAAGCAAGTAGTGCCAGGTTGCGAGAAGTGAGGGTAGATGCTGGAGCAGGCCTGTGTTTCTTGTCTAATTATCTACCCTCCCATCTCAGCCGACCTGCCACGTTCACTTTCTACGTCTGGTAGTTGCTTCCATCAACTCGTTTTCGTTTTCATTTTCTGTCTCTCTCTTTTTTCCTTACTCTTTCTGTCTTTTCCTTCATAACTACTTGTCCTTCTTTGCGTCTATTTGCTCTTTTCTCTCCATTAGCATCGCAGTAGAGATCAAGAAAGATGGACAAGCCTTATCCAACTTTTCCCTGCGTTCTTAATTTTAATTCATCTGTTCGCCTATGCCGAGAAATACGTTAGTTGCAAGCAAAGATCGATTGAACAGGCTTCTAAAAGTTTTTAATTAGATCGCCGCCTCTTCTTCCTTGATCAACAACGCTGATGTAATCAGAAATAAGATTCACCGTCTAAAACACGGTATCTAAAAAGCGACATCGAAACCTCGTCGCTTTTTAGAGACTTTTTCTAAGCGCCCTTCGCACTGTCTTTTTCTCTTGCTTTATTCTTTAGCGACCCCTTACCCGATTTTGGGCTTCACCCTTCGTTCCTTTTCCCGCTTGCTGCAGACGAATGGTGCAAAACGATCGAGTCGATCCCTGGCAGATTGGTTTTAACGAGTTTCCTTTCAACGCGGTTTATCGAGGAATTGCGGGCGCTTTCGATGAGTCCCCTGCCGAATACGCCAGGGAAATTTCCACGGAAGATCTTAATTAAAGACGCCCGCCGAAAAATGAGAGCTCCCCCCGGATTGAGGAGAACGGCGTTATTGCCGCACCAACGCAGCGGATCCGATTATCGCGCAGTCTGATCTATTAACTGTGTGTACGTAGCTTAAAGGGATTCGCGAAAGTTGAGCTACGCCACGCTGCCACTATAACTCAGGTAAATACAGATCAAATTTTAGTTAAGAGATACTTCACCAACGAAACACGTTTTTGGGTATTTCAGATTGAAAGAGTGGCGTTCGTCAAATATTTCACAAAATATTTATCTCGATTTCATTGTGCTAATTCGTGAGACGTAGAGAGATTAATGTTTGCGATACACATTGTGTCACGTGTTCAGCAAAATATTTATTGCTGAAAGTTTGTCTCTCTTCAAGCTAATTGGATTATATTTTTACATTCAGAGGAATATAGTCTTATCTTAGAGAAGAAACCTTCCAGTTGAAAAATAATAACATTCTACTAAACGTGATCATTATATTTTCATAATTGAAAATCTCTTGTAACATATCTTGTAAACTATCACACAAACTACCATTATGAAAAAAAGAGTCTAGTTACATTAATTGGAATTCTAGTTGAAAATGAACAAATCAAAATTTTGTAGTTGAAATTTTCGTCCATTTTCAGTTCAAAAATTTTTCTCAGTGTAAATATTTCTATTTGGCCACTGCAATTTATGAAATAATATCGCTATTATATTGTACATTAATCAGAGTCACGGGTTTATAAAAATTATTATATAAGATTATTCAATGTAGCAATATGCAGAAGATTTTATGAAATGTAATACTGCAAAACATCAAACTATAATAATAGTCTCCTTTCAAATTTCGTCTAAATTCAACCTGTTCTATACCGGTAAGCTCCCTCGCATGTATACTCGCACGCAACTAGGAGATAAGCGCACAGCCCAGCACTGTAAGTCTATCGGGCTTTCAGACGGCAAAAAGTGGAGGAAGCGGAGACGAGATTGGGAGTAGGAGAGAAAAGAAGCCCGGCTTTTAACAGTAAGACGATGGAGGCCGGGACCCGTCTGATAGGAGATTGACGCTCTAACGTGTGAGAGACCAACGCGAGGGAAAAGAAAAGGGAAACAGGGCTTACTAAACGTGTGGCGAAAAGGGCGTTTTTCCTGCCGTTTTCAGATATTTAAATCCGCGCGAACGACTTCGGGGTTCCGCTCGCGGATCACCTCCCTACGATACGAAATCGCGAGAGGCTCCAAGCGTGGTGAATCCAGGCTCTCGTCTGGTTGGCTTAAATGAGAACGAAAAAAGAAACGTGGCGCAAATGGTAGGAAGGAAGTAAGGCGGTAGGAGAGATATAGGAAGAGTGCAGAGAGTGAGTTGTTCGAGCGTGACGTGTATTCTTGTCAGGGTGAGACCAAAAGACGTAGTACACAGCAGACTTTACAGGCCGTTCGCCAGAGAGGAAAAAGAAGACAACGCGAGAGAGCAAGGAAGGAACGAAGGAGAGCGAAGGAGAAATTGTGGAGAAAGAGAGGATCCCCGGTAAGAGAAGTATGCACTCCTTAATAGTGTGGGTGTGTCGGTGCGGATGGAGGAGTAAGTTTTAAAAACATCCCAGCCGACGCGCCTCCGTGGTGCTGGTTTTATCGCTGCCTCCTGCTTCCTGCTTCCAAAAGGACCCTTCTCTCTCTCTCTCTCTCTTCTTCTTTCCTCCCTGACTCCTCTCCTCCCATCCGAGCAAAGCCTTACCCGTCGTGGTACCGGAGCACTTGCCTACGTACGTACTGTCGGCTGTAAATCCACCGAAAAGCATCTGCGGGTATCAAGAAACAAGTCCGGCCGCAAACGCGCGCGACGGGTGAGCTTTTAAACCTGCATGAGCACAGCGTGCAATTTCGTAACGATCTGTGCACGCAGGTGCTTCGGGTAGAACAACGAGAAAAAGTTATTTAAATGCACCCTCCTATATGCGCTAGAGAGTGCTTAGAGCTTTTTTATCGAACGCGTTTGTCATTAATGTACGACGTAGTGAGAATATCGGAGGTGAATATTCATAAGAATATTCGCACGGTGAATAAAACTATAATGAGGCGGAGAGATTAATATTAACCCTGGAGTAGTTATTTGATGTTTTTCATGTAAATAATCATTTTTACATTCCAATTAAAATTATTGTTAATAATATCATATTGTATATTATTATTATTAATTATTTTTCGATTTATTAGTATTTGGGAACATTATAAATATGAATTTAATTATAATTTTCTGAAAACAAATAAATAGAAGCTAAATAAATATTAAAGGTAATAAATACATTAAGCTCATATTGTGACAATATTTCTAAAAAAAATAAAAAATAAAAATTTTAATTAATGTAACGCTTTTTTGCCAATTTTCAAAGGAATTGCATATTTAAAGGTTCGTAAAGAACACTTATTATAGACGAAAGAAAATATTAATATTAAATAATATCTATAGTATAAAACAATATTTAATTACAATTTGTATTTTTTTTTTACCGTTGGGATATAAAAATACCTCATGTGATTATTTCTGAGTTAAAATTTAAATTATTATAAAATAATTATTAAAGAAAAAAAATGTAATTAGCATTACTTTTAATTTATGTGAAACTGTATTTATCTATGTAACAATATTAACCATCCCCATAATGATAATTCATCATTGTATGGCGATTAATTAATAATAATAATAATTTATCAATTACTTGTCTCGATGACCGTTTACTCGAGCATACTCGAATACATCAAGGCATGTAATAAATTACGTGCAACAAACTGAAACTACTAGGCGGCCGAAGAAGGTGACTAAGAGACGTTTTTAGCGTAAGTTCGACGTGAAATTCTTCTCCTCTCTTTCGTGCTCTTGGCTCATCTACTTCGACGTTTACCGCGTTCACGTCATTCTGCTGGTCTTTTTACTCGAGATACTTTCCCTTTGACCGACAGGAGTAGATTGGATATTTTTCCTTGCGGCACACCTGGTTTTTCCTTCCAGCAAGGCGAGACTAACGCGAGACGCATTTGAAGCTCGTGCCTTGCCTAACGCAATATGTGTGCGTTCTCGCACACGCAGGTGAACCTGGTGAACGAATCGCGGGTGGTGCGAAAGTGCCGATGCCGCCGTACATTTGCAAGAGTGAAAGTCGGTAGTCGGGGCGCAGCGCGAGAAACAAGTCGTCGCATCGACATTCTATTTCGTTTCCCATTACGTAAACGTCTGAAGCACGCGATTTATTTGTTTTATTTTCGTATGGAATGTTCTTTGGCAGGACCTCAAAGGCAAGCCGGGCCTGCCGCGCCGTCTCGCTCGTCGTCCTTTCCAGCTCTCTTCCTCCCACGTGATGGTTGCCCTTGCCGCTCTCGCAGCCCTTGTAGACCGACGACTCCTCACATATGATTACCATCGACATGAAGCGAGCTAATATCCAAATTTTTGCGATTCCTTTTACGGGATATTGAAAGCCATTTTCCTCCTTCTTTTTGCCCTGTCTTCTTCCATTCCGGAACTCCGACTTCCCGACTCCATTGGAATACACCGTCTTGTCCCTTTATAGATTCAATGTAAAGATCAAGCTAAAAATAGCTAAATATATTGATCATGAATAAATGAGAATGCGGATTACTTCCACTTGCTTTAATTTCCCAAATTGAAGACGGAGATTTTACGATGTTGCTGCTTGATTAAATTGCAAGAGCCAAATATTACAGTAGGGTGTATCCACCGGATGGTAATTGTACGATCAGTCAAGCATTCTCTGCGGTATTGCTTGATACCGATGCGTATAAATGCGATAATTTCTGTGATTTGCGCGATTCCGCGGACATCTGTGCGAGTATAACATCGCTGTTTCAATATTAAATCGACACGATAATAACTTCAGCCATTCGAGGCAATTGATATTAATAAATGTCGTACACATTTATACGAGTGTAATATCATTTGCGTAATGAAATCTATGATATTAGGTAGAGATATACGCGCATTGAAAGCACAACCGATCGCTTAATGCTTGATTAAAAAAAAATAGCAAACGATAAAGCGTACAAATCGAGCAATTATATTTTCAATCTATTAAAATTGCAAATCGAAACTGTGTAAAGCATGTAAAGCATAAAGGACACTGTGAAATGCAGCAATAAAACTGGGATAATGAATATCTTTTGAACATAACGGCTTGTACGTAATAAAAGAATTTCTACGGCTATAAAGAACGTACCTTCGTTGTTGATGAAATATTGCACAAGAAACAGGACGGTTGTCGAGGTGTACGAGATGTACTTATGACACACAGCCGGAACCGGGACAATCGTCAGATCTGCGATGAAATTTCCCTTGTACGTATTTGTATCCGTACTCGGGAGTTTCTCGAAGCGCGCACGGTGGCGAAGGAAAGAAGTTGTGCAAGGCAAAAGTTTTCTTCGCGATTACTCAACATCGTCGTAAAGAAACAATCGGCACTTCTGCCCTCGTGCCTCCTTGCTCCACGGGGAATGCAATCTGCGCTGTTGCTCGGGCTTGCCCGCGGCGAAACAAAGCTATTTTTCCGCGGCTATACCGTGCGCTGCCTCGGCCATGGTTGGAATAAAAAGAAATATCATTAGCGTTCCCTTTTGTAGTTCGACCCGCGCGCGCGTGATAGATGGGAAAAATAGGTTAATAGAATCCTAATACGCGGTTCGAGAATGCGCACAGACGTTTTCTTCTCCTCTTCGGACAGTCGAACGAGAATGTAGCTTCACCACCTTCGTTTCATCTCGCAAGAAAAAGATGAAATTGATTTTTACACGCGGTTGTATAATCGCATTAAAGTTTCCGTCGCGTGCTTTGATCTGAAAATTTCCTACAAGAAACGGAACAAAAATGAAAGGGCGTATTGGTGTTTATTCATATCGCTAGCTATGCGAAATGATCGTCCGAAATTATTGCGCTATATCAATGGATAAGGTTTCTTTGTATCGAGTGACGCTCGGTCGAATGTTAAAAGATCAAACGTGTTTGATTTGATTCTTTGAGTTCAAAACAGCGCGACGCGTCGAGTATTCTGTGTGACTAGATTTAACTGACAATAGCAAACGTTGTAGTCGGAATTCTATTTTCGTATTTTACTTAAAATACGAAATAATTTTTGAGTTATTACCATGAATGAGTTTCAGAGTAAAGATTACTTCAGAAATCATCAAAAAACTAACTTAACTTCACAATTTGTCTGCTAAATAACTTAAGTATTATTTTCAAGATTTTTAAAGAGATCATAATATCTTTTACAAGAGTGATACACTCTTTGAATTACGTCGTTTTTGTAAAAAGGGAAATCTTCTACAAAAAACATTTATAGGTTTTCTATAATAAGCCATTACCTAAGCTTTAAGTCTTAAGTCGTAAGAAATTGACCAATCACAGTTAAATATGGGAGGAATAATCGACTATGATTGGTCAATTTCTTATGGCTTAAGACTTACAACTTAGGTAATAGCTTATAGAAGAAAATATTAAAGTTAAGACGGTTTTGGCGATCGAAGTTTGAAGAAGAAATTGCTTTATTTTGAATTTAATTTTTTTTTTAATTAATAGAAGTAAATATAAATTGTTGGTGATATTTCGAGTTGTAACTTTTGAAAATTATTCTAAATTTGTTATAATTTTGCAAGATATAATTAAAAATTGCAACAGAAAGAGTTTTTTAAAGAAACAAAAATAACAAAAAAAATGACATTTAGGCTCGATTGCACCAACGTTACTTTGACTTTAAACGAAGCTTAAAAATCTGTTTTTTTTTTTTAAAGCCGATAGAGAGACAGGAAGAGAGTTTTAAGCCTCGCTTAAAATTAAAGTAACGTTGATGCAATCAAGCCTTAATTATGTTTCTGAGAATATATTCTTTTTACCGATATTATTATATTCATTAGTAACTTTCTGGAAAACTTAATTTTTTAAATTGTGTCACTTTTGAAGTAAAGGAACGATATATGTATGTTGTAGAATACAACAAATGCGTATCTGTAACCAAAACGAATGTTTTACACATATACGCATCTACAGTATTCAAAGGGTTGAACGCAACGATCATTTGATTTGTAGAACTAGTTACGCACAAGAAGGGAGACGATCACATCAGGTTAAAACAGAGTAACACGAAAGAAGATAAAACTTGATAGGAAGAAAGAGGCAAAGCAAAGGGTGGAGAGGAGAGGATTCTCTGAAAACTTAACGACTGCAAAGTCAGACATCAGGGCCACGTTATTTCCAGGCTGACGATGCCTTTTGATCTTCCAAAGTCTAGACTTCCTTCAGTCTTCCATCCTATGCTCGGCAGTCGTGCTCACTAGGAAGTAAACGCTTCGGGACCGACTTATCGAAACTTTACGGAACTACGCCGATATCCGATTCCCCTCTGCCACCGTCATCTCTCTTTCTCTCTCACCTTTCTTTCTCTTTCCAATCTGCTCTCCGCCACGACAACGAACCCTCGTCACTATCTATTCTACAAAGACTTTTTTCCCTTCTTGAACCCCGCCGATAAATCGTATCCTGGTAGCCGTATTTTCCCAAAGCGTTCTTCTTCTTTATCGCTCTCGCCTTTTTACATTGTCGGTTTGTACTTTAATGACTTATTCTTTTATTTCTGAACCGTGTACTCTTAGTTGTATTGAGTATTCATCATATCTTAGTTGTATTGTGGTTCAGAATTCACATTACACAATAACATTAATAGATCTTTAAAGCAAAATATTTTTTCTCGCGCTGATGAATAAAAAAAAATTATTTTCGATGAATGCTCGTCATACTACAAATAAATCAACGTTATGCTTGATCTTTTGACTGACGTTTACTATACATCTATCATCCATTCAGGAATCGGGACATACCGTGTTCTTCAAATCTCATCCATATTCCTCGCCGACCTCGCAATTCCGACTGCAACTGACTCGTATAAGCCACACCGCTGTATACAAAGTGTTCCATTGAACGAGGCTAATAAAACCGGGCCTCGAAATGGAAAGAGCTGTTGAAAGAAGCCGAATCAGGTCGCGTAGATCCCGCAAGCGATCTAAATTGAAATCAGAGTTCCGCGATCGCAGACGAATGCGAACTTTGGATCACAGCCCTCGCGCAACCCTCGTTCTCCCTTCTGAGACGGCGTGTCGGCAGTCATACCCCTTTTTCTCTTTCTGCTTTCATTTTTCCTTTTCCTTCTCTTAGTCATCGACTGTCGCCACCATCGTCGTCGTCGTCGTCGTCGTCGACGTCGAGCAACCTTCTGCTCGCCATACAACCCGCCTCACTACTTACGATCGGTTCCAGTGAATTAAGCCGGGGGAAGTCAATTGGAAAAGTTTTTATTGGCTCACGTTTAGGAATTCCAAGATGCCCGTATCGTTCGATTTGTAGACGACGCCACAGTTACGCGGCTATTTCGGCGCGGATGAAATCGTGCGAGACAGGCGAGCTGACGCTTTCCCGAATCGGAGACCTTTCTCGTTCGATTTCATCGGTGGCGCGTGGTATCACCCCTCTGCGATTCCTCGTTCTTCTCCTGTATTTACGATTAGCATTTTGCCTGACTGGGGGATGTGAATCTTACAAACTTACGCGGGTCTTTCCGTTCATTCGCTCGATTGGCTATCAATTTCGCCGTACATCAAACATCCGCGAAGTAATATTGAATCGCAAAGTTCTTTCCCAGAAACTATCAGATTGTACACATGAAATCGACAGTTCGAATTAGCGACATTGCTCTCAATATAGATATAGATTTTCTCAATAATATTAAAATATATTTAATGCTGTATTTTTAACAAATATAAAACAAATATAAAAAATTACAGATTTTCTACACGTATTGTATTTACGTGAAAGTAATACAATAATTTTGAATATGGTTCAAAATTGTCGCCAGTGTAATAAGAAGTGCATATTTTAAATAAATAATTATGATGAAATGAGAAAATTTTCATTTAAATTATAAAATTGTATTATTGAATATATTTAATATTTAATTTGTTGAATTGTTTCTTTATATAGATTTATTTTTTTACGGAAATTATCCAATTTCAGTTCACTTTTTTTACAGAGATAATACATCTATTCTTAAAAAGGCTAACTTATTATTAGATTACGGAATTAGATATCGAATTTCTTCTACTTTTAGATATTTTAGTTCTTGCAGCAGTTCTAGCAGTAATCCAAATTTATCGAGGTTCTGATAGTTTCTGTCAACCACTTGACTACTGTAAAACTTTAGTTTTATTTCAATAAAATTCATTGCATAAAACCTGTCGTTTTGTATAGTTCACACGTTCGACATCAAAATTAGTATGTAACGAATCGCGCGTGCAAATAACGACCTCGTCTATATACGAAACTCGTTACGTGCGGAAAACAAATACAGCACGGTCCGCCACGCCGGATACCTCAGAAAAATGGCCAGAAAATGGTTCGCTGTTCGCACCCGGGTATTTTCCCCGGGCGTATAAAAATATGCGCTCGTCCCTCGCCAACTTCTCCCCGCACCTGTTTATTTTAACACTGCGCGCATTTATTCTCACCGAGGAATTTCAAATTTTAGTTTTCACATCGGTCGATTCGGGGACAAGAGTACACTGTCGAATGCATTTTCGATTTTTATAAAAAGAACTTTGAAAGTGAATGAGTTAATACGAACGATGCTATTTTTGCATTAAGTCGACAGAATAGCTGATGATAGTTCTCAAATTAATTATTCACAATTCCGCATTTTTTTGCTGACGAAAATAAATATATCACAAATGAGTGTCAAAAATGTCAACTCAAATACCCAGTGATTATATTATGTTTTTATTAATTAGAATAAATTTTAAAAAAATATATATACTATATCAGAAATATAAGGAATATTTGATACTTTAAAATGCAACATGTTTCGTGTATCACATTTTACTTGGTAGCATTCGTTGTTTAGTTAAAATTGATGATTTATATATCTCGAATAAGAAAAAGAATATTTTCAGTCGAAACAGATTTTGATGCTTAATAATATTCATATGCAAATTTATAAATACATTTTTTTCTATAAAAAACTGCACACCAATTTGATTTATTGAACGTGCAATTAAATTTATGATCAATGTAATTTGTGATATTATTTCTAGCTTCAGTGTTTGTGCCATTTATTGGTCTAATTTCCACTTATAATTATACATGTTTGGTCATTATAAAAATAGATTGCGATATTATAGAAGCAAAGTCTCTCGAGTTTCTCGTTTTGTTTATGTCACAACTGGTTTCTATTTTTCTTGGAAGTCACGTTCGCATCAACGATAATAAGTGAACTAACAATAAATATTCCTATTTCTTATTATTTCTAAATTTTCAGTACCTGTCACGGAGTGATAAGACTAGTGATGACTTTAGGCAATTCAGTACATGTTACTATTGGTAGTCAAGTTTTACTTCCAAAAGAGTAGATAACTTGGGACAGCATGTACTTTTGTTAAATTTAATCGTAGCACTCATCCATGAGTCATTAAAGAAAATTTAAAACTTAAACTTTCTTTAGAGATTCATGGATAGATATCATGATTAAATTCGACAAAAATACATGCTGTCCCAAATTACTTGCACTGTCCCAAATTATCTAACAATAAGTAGAGGTAACTAGAATTTTAATCGATATAATCAGAATCTACTAATTCATCTATTTTCAATCAGAAATATTTCTCGATGTTGTGCATTCTGCTTACCGCTCAACTCAGACCATAGCATATATTCGTAAGTCGTTCAAATCAGTATTCACGGCCCGTTAAATATCCAATAAAAAATCGGACCTGAAAGCTAAAACAAATCACTAAAAAAGAAGCAGCGAAGCAAAAGATATACGAGCGGCAATCGCACGAGAATCATCCGTTTCAATTCCATTAATGTCTCGCGTTTTGTACATCGGCAGTCGACTGTGCGAGTAAGCATGGTTAAATTTGGCACGCTCTATGGTATTATTAAATTATTCTGCCGTTCACGATTATACGAAATAGTTGCTATTTTGTCCCACCGGACACGAAAAATCGATTACTCGTGGCCCGTCGCTGCCGTTTTCGTCGCCAATTGCGCGCGAATCGTTCGCTCGTGCCTTGCGAGCAGGTAAATCGCGCCCCATTGTTGCTGTTGTCGCCATCGCCGTCGTCGTCGCGTTCGTCGATTTTCGCGAAAATAAATTTTGCAAAATGCTCGCGCGCGCTGCCGTTTAAACGCCGGGAATTTTGGGAATACTTTACGGCCCGTGTGCGATCCGATATTTGTGAAATACGAGCGATACGGGACTGGAGCGTAGGGGATGCTAGGGGATTAAAAAAATGCGCAAGAATGATCGTGACGGTCGACTGAGCTTGATGTGTTGCAAACATGAATGAATCGCAAACGCGAGATAATCGGTGTCTCGCAATTCGAAAGTACCACGTGCGTGTAAAAGGACGATGAAATAAATTGTCGATAATTTTGAAAATTTTTCCAACAGAAATAATCGGCCAAAGGTAACAATCAGAGCTAATTGCAAGAGAGAGCCGCGCGCCGAAACGGCTTTATATCAATATGCATTTATCGCACGAACGACAGAGCTGATTTATGCACAGAGGCAAACAGCTTCAAAAAAGGACGACCTGCGCGCGAAATGTTCGTATAAAATTGATCGGCGAGAAGCGTGCGCGCCGGGTCTGGCCGGCTGATTGTAAATTGTAAGCAATTTCGTAATTGCGTGGACAAAGCAATTAAGCCATTTGACCGACCGTGTATGAGGCGAGGCGCTCCGTGACAAATACATTGGCTGACGTTATAACCGCGCAAACAGAGAGCGATAATGCAATTTGGATAATACACGACGGCCACGCGCGTGCACCAGGTGTAACGCGGGGATGAGCGTAAACACGCGCGAACCGCGCAACAAAGTTGGATCACTTGATGAAAATCGACGGCTGCAAAAGGCCAAATGTTATTCCACCGACGTGCTCGCGTACAAGCACCCCGACCTCCGCAAAACGTAAAACTGAAAATCCACCACGACGTGACTGCAACGTTTTTCGTATAGCCGCGAGTGTGCGCTCGTATTTTTATTGCGACGTGAGCGCATTGTGCACGACCGATTTGCAACGGCGAGCGCATCTATGGCGTGCATACATATTTTTATATTTTTACCAATTTATTATGCTCCGCTTGCAGGACAGCGAGAGTAACGATATAAACATCGATGAGAACACAACGTTCCATTAATAAATTATTCGAGAACGTTACACCATTGCAAATACTCGCGCGTGAAAAACTCCATTCCGCTCTTAATCGCGCGGACGACTAATTTTATTCACCGAGCGCGAAATTTCACCCCCAAACCACCACCATCCGCCTTAAGCATTCCCGCCGTTATGGAACGCGCCATTATCTCGGGACTTCGAAGCTCGTCATTCTCGTTTCTACTAAATTCCATCGTCGAACCCGAGAAGATAGAATAAAGGGGCGAAGAAGCGAGGAACAGAGGAATAATAACGTGGTACCTAGGTGTTTCTTAATTTCATTTATTCGTTTTCGTAAAGCGAAGACCGCGCCGGAAGCGCGTCGCTCGTCGGGATTCCATGGCGTCGTCAAGTTACAATTTTTTTTCGTCGAATCCGGGCAATCCCAACGCGGCCGGTATAAAACTCCGCGAAATGATCCATAAAATTGAACATTTCCCCAATATAAGTACATGTATTCAGGTGCGGTCGCATTCAGCCGGATCCACGCGTGCTTTCACCGACAACGACGCGGAGATGGCGAAACGGACAACGGTAGAAAGGTGAACGGCAGAGATCTCTTCAAGTAAAAAATTGGACACCACATGTTTGGTCCGCCATATTTTTCAAGACTTGTGTTTAAAGTAGAATGAGATAGGTTATACATAAAATCACAGATCTCATTCTATCTTATGCATTTATCTCATTCTATGTTAAACAGGTCCTCAATAATATGGACCAATCAGAAGTCTAAACGGTGTCCAATCTCTTACTTGAAGATCTCTAGTATACGGGACTTTCGTGGATAAAAAGAGGGAGAAAAGCGTGCAGGAGGCGACAAGGGGGTGCTCTCGACGGAGACAACGCGCATCGAGCAGTATATACGATCCCGGGGAACAATTTTAACGCAAATGAGAAATTCTCTCTCTCGCCATACGATAAACAATCGAGATAAAGGATTTATGGTCGCACGGGAAACAGCTGCCATAAAAGTCTCGGGCTGTTTCCAATCTGTCCACTCTCGGTGCCACAAAGTCGGAGCGAGACAGAGGGCTGGGGGTCGCCTCTCGCCACCCTCTTCCCACCGCTGCTGAGGCTCGTCGTTTTCGCCTATCGCAGATATCGACGACGGCGATGGACTGTATCTGCGTACACGTATGTTACATTTACTCGCGTTGTTCGCTAGCAATCACGGTATTGGATGTTTTCCGCGCCGGGACCCGCTGTTGTTACGTCCGCAAAAAATGTTGCGCCAATCGTACACTGTTATCTTTCTCATCTTTAAGATCGTCAAATCTGTTTGATTTTTGCAACTGTACATATGCATTGGGAATAAATATTGTTTTATAAAATAATAATATAATAGAATAGAAAATATAAAATATAATATTATAATGGAATATAAAATTAATTAATATACACTATGCGTGTTCCTATAATGCATATTGTAATATGATCTTACAATCTAAAAAATATAGATGAGAATTTATTACTATGCGATGTTTGCATAATAAATGTCTATATATTGTATAATTGATATTAACTCCAACTTGATATGGATTTAACACCATGGATTTTAAGTATCTTAACCCATAACACTAAAAAAGAAAAGTATTTAATTTTAAGATATTAAATTTTTTTATTTTTGTTTCCATTTTTTAAATACTTAAAGATATTTATACTTAAAGATATTTTAGTTTTAAATTTTTTCAATAAACAAAACACTACGTGTTTGTATTTAAAATACTATGAGCGATATTCATATAATCTGTTCTTATTTTAACCATCTTAAGTAATGTCTTAAGATACTAATGCGGCTCTTTGATTGATTCATAACATCTTAAAACTATACTTAAGACGGTTTTAAATATAAGAGATCCGATGATTATCGGCCTAAATATATATATATATTTCGTTTACCAAAAAAAGTGGAGATGAGAATAAAATATTTTAATATCTGAAAAATAAAACACATCTTTTACACATTATTCATTCAAAACTGCGTGTTAAGCAACCAATTTTTTTAAATATCTACAAGTTGGAAATTTTGCTGGAGCGAATTCGCATCCAGGCATCACTTACGAGTTAAATTTATACCATAAACATGATGGCGCTGACATAAACACTAGAGATTTTAAATCCATGGTGTTAATTTATCAAAACGCATAACGAATGAGAATTATATGATATCAATATGAAGTGGATTTAACATCATGGGTTTATACCATGATGATGTGTTTATTAACTTCATGGTGATAATTATATTAACACTGTATGGTGTCGAATTCACATTCATATTTTCTAAATCTATATTTATATTTGTAAACAAATGATCTTCATTTCAGGCGAGCTAAGTTTGAACCAAAGATTGAATCAGATTTATCAAATTGTGGTTAATTGAGAAGCGTTTTACAAATGAAAGACTGATTCAAACCCAACTCAAATGGGATCTCAAGTTGAATCACGGCTATGAATACAACCCTTAGAGTGTATCTATAATATTAAAAATCCTAGTTCTAATCATTAAAAATATTTTATTTTATTATACTTCCATCGTTAATACTGAGGAAGATTGGATGTCTTAATTCGTCTCGTGTGAATTCAAGATTTCCGAATCTTACTCGTACTCGATTCGTACGCGTGACATCCTCCTTAGGAACACATCGTTCTTAATATTTAGGACGGAGCATTTACAATACCGCAATACTGGAAATTATTATATTTCCAGAGTGCAGAGTACAATAATAATTTCCAGTACTAAGGTATTGTATAAACGCTCCGCCCAAAATATTAAGGACGACATCTTGCACTTTCGAGGAGGATGTCACATGCATACGGGCGGAATCAAGCACGGGTAAGATTCGGAACTCTGTCGAATTCCCACGGGACGAATTAAGGCATGCGGCCTTCCCGCATGTATTAACGGCGGAACTATGGTGTGCGCGTTAATGGACGTTTAAATTATGCATTCGCGCCTCGCGCTCTCCCGGCCCGCGTCAGCCGTCTAATTAGTTATTTATACATTCCAAGCGGGCGTGAGTTAGTGTCAATGATTAAGAAGGTACCGAGCGAAAAGCGGAAGTTTCGCGCCGAGTATTTAACTTTAGGCGAGAGTGAATTGTACCGGGGGAACGAATGACGTAACGCGAAGGGATACGAACGAGGAACGAGGAAGAAATCAGGAGTGCGCAAGCAGCGGAAGAAACAGAAGTCTCGTAGCAATGTTGTACATGGAATATCCAGCGGGGGATAGTTTTTCGCGTTTATGCGAATTTAAAGGATCCTCCCTTAAGACTAGCCTCTCGCGAGAATTGAAGACAGTAGAGGCAGAGTCTGAAAATTTCAACTCTGTTTCCTGTCGCCGACTCGAGACTTTATAATGTTGGTTTAATTGTATCTCGCTGACAGATTGTTGGATAATTAGTACTTGTCGTTCGGTGGCGAGAGACTCCTTAAAATGTGATTATCGCGCTTGCGTGACATCAGGGATGAAGAGTCGCTTCGATTTGTTGTTCGTAATTGAGTTGCGGTGGACGAGATGTACCTCTCGTGCACCGCACAGCATGGTAAATGCAAAAAATCGAAGGTATATAAAGTACTTTATGCATCAATGCCCATCTAGAGAAGCGAAATTGAAATTGCGCGAATATAAGTGCTCTATGATGCGTGCTGTACCTTTAGTTTTCCACGTTACGAAAGTTCGATGAACTAAAATTACACATTATGGCGCATTACTTCTTTTCGCTGTAAATGGTGACATTATGAGATTGATGGAGAGGAACAATCGTGGATAGTACTTTATAGCTAAGGTTAAAGTTCGTAGTTCTACGATAATTTTCATCTTCTTATAATTCTAAAATTATTTCCATTTTATCTTTATTTATGCAGAATGTCCTTTATGTAAAAAAATCAGACAAATATTTTGCAAGCAGTAATCTGTCTCAGATTTAACGAAAAATAATGTATATGAACATCAAGTTTTTATAACAAGAAAGAGTTATAAATATTCCAGTATTTTTTAATTAAGGTAACCTAAGATGATTTATATTTTATCCTTATTCATATAGAATACATTTTATGATAAAAAAAAACTCACAAATATTTTACAAGCAATGATCTATCTCAGATTTAACGAAAAATAATATATATGAGCAACAGGTTTTACGCAATGAAAAATTATAAATATTCCAATATTTTTGGATTAAAGTCAAAATTTTTGCATACTACATATTTAATTTTTAAACCACAATTTTCCTATGGATCTATATACATGCTGATGAATCTTTCACTTATGAGGTTATGCAGATGAAGCGTCCCATCTATCGCAATGATTTCATTTCGCCGTCACGGGGAAAAAAATATGAAAAGAAAATAGATGCACGTATCACGTGTGTAACCGCAGTTTCGCCGAGAAATCATGAACCATAAACAGGAGTCATCATTAAAAGGCAAGGTAGCGAGAGGGATTCGAAGGAAAATAGAAAAGCGCGAGACCCTTTTGGGGGTACCTATTTGACATGCCTCTCTCGTCTACTCACCCCCGTCAACCCCGTCTTATTTTTTCCTATCCCTATTTTTCTTCCTCGACTACTTCTCGTCCCACCGTCAGTGCTTCCCTCCGCCTCGCTGTGCTCCTCATCTAGTGCTCCATCTCGTTTTTCTCGTCGGATTCCGCAAAGTGCGGTGTTCCGTCCTCGTAGCGGTCCTTCCGCCCTTCCGTATCCGGTCTAAGGGGCTGAAACCGACAAAATTAAGAAACCGCGTCACGCAGCAGCACCCATTACCGTGAGGTAAACATACGACTCACGTACACGTGCGGAATATCACGCAGACGATTAAAAAAAAAAAGTAGCAATCATTGGTTGCCTCATGAAGGAGCAATGGCTTTAATCCCTTAGTCGAATTCTCTCGTTAATCGTGCCTCCTTTTTCCACGTTCTTTAAAGGTTGCGGCGTCATGTCTTGATCGGATTCCCAAGCAACCGATAGCTTTTGTAGTTTTCTTTCAATAAAAAGAAGAAGAAAAAATGATAACAATGAAAAGAAAAGCGAAAGAAATTATAGAGCGTAAACATATTTTATAATGTGTATTTAAAAAATATACATATATGTGTAATATGCATATGTCTAATTTTAATCGTAAGTTTGAATGATAATCATATAATACTAAATATATTTTCCCTTTTACTAATAATATTATATTGCTAGTCATTCGACATAAATAATTACAAGGTTAAAGTGTGAAAAAGTAAATTAATATCCGGTTGCACTAAAATAAATTACTTTAATCTCAATTCGTTTTATTCTTCATTTTGTTCCAATTTTTAATACATATAGGCTATAAGTCTGAAAATCCGTAAATCAAAGTACATATAAGTAAAGGGATGCATGTACATATATTGTATGGTATACAATACTTTATATTACTGTTTACATTATTTTGTTACTTTATTGAAATATGATAAATTAATTATGACGCTATACGTTCTTTTATTTCGAATTAACGCGTATTATGATATAATATTTAAATTTTCGCTTAGAAATATGTCTCAAATTATATTGTAGCATTTAGTCTCTTGTATTAATGCATAACTTATTTTTTCGAGTATTTCATTTAGCAATATTAATTAAGGATATTGTCTGATTAGAGAATATTGATCACTTCTATTCAAATATTGTTGTATACTTCGCATAAACATAAAGCCAAACGATATGTATGGTATGTGTACTCTATAATCTGAAATCTGAATAATGGATATGCACTAGTAATCTGATAATAATTAATTAATTAAGAGTAAGCGAAGCTTATATTCCAGTAGCGTAAAATATGAGCTTTGATATACATAGAGACGAGAGATATGTGCGTCTATATTTGTGAACCAAATATAGTGTCATCTCAGATAACTTGTTTCATGCAATTCTCTTATTACAATAAACTATATTTTTAATATTATAATAAATCATATTTTTAATTAAAGAATATTCCAAAAATTAATAAAAAGTTTATGGCACTTAACTAATTAATTTCAGCACATAAACATGATAGTTATATTGCTCCGTTATGATGCAATAATATGTCTTGTAGGTCAGACTTCATTTCTTTACGAACAAGAACAAGTAGAACATTGCTTTTTGAAATGAAGTTCTCAGAAAGTTAAAATTCGTACTATATATATAAATACTTATTTAATTCCTACGCGCTTTCATTGCGAGCTGATCGTTAAATTCTTGTCATGGAACTTTGTAATTACTTGGGAAAACTTCTTGCTCGAACCGTGCAGATCCTCCTCTCTTCCACTTTACGCCATTTTTAAAGGTTTTCATTTTCATGACTATATTACTAGTTTCTATAGAAATATATATTTTTTAATAATGTTATCTTATATTTTTTTAAATACAAGTACAATATTTTTACATAGCTTACTCACGTGATTATAGTTACCCATTGTTTTATTAAAACATAAATGATTTCAACTACTTAATCCTGTTTCATTATTATTATTAATTATTATTATATTTCTTTTAATTCTGAACTGCCACTTAAATATTACGCTTCCTGCATCTTTATTGCCGAAAATGTCACCGCTCTTGAGCAAAAGATTAACTGTCGTTCGTATCTCCGTAGTACGTACTGGTCCTGTCGTGCCTCTCTTCT